ATCATCAAGATGAATAAATCTCTGAAAAAGCCAGCCTGATAGTAACATTGAACCTATTATCAGTTTCAGTATTTCCTCCAGTTCCATTCTATTTTTTCGATCCAATTGTTGAAGGCTATTTTGAAAACACAAATAAAAGTCTCAACCACTGCCAAGGACCAGGAAACAGAGTCGATGAAATTAATAATAGAAATATTTCGACAAGTATTCAATGCCAGCGGCGAATAACAAGTTCGCCAAGAGATGTTTCTAATTTCATCTGAATGTTTGTAATTATAATGAGATGCAGATCAACTCCGGAAAAATTAATTCCATTTCGAAAAAGTCTGAAAAATAATATTCACATTTTCCTTGGTTGTATGCCAAACTCGATAGATTGTTTGTTTCCTGATATTTGCTTGATTACTCAGATTTCCTTAATATAGGTGTGATAGAAGGAGAATTATGTCACTCCAAAAATATAGTTTGGTGACGTTCGTTGAAAGTGAATCCGAATATTCGGTTGAAACCTCAGAGATGTTGGCAAGTTCTCAATTTTTAAGTGTTGCAAATATGATGACTGTTGGATTGATGTGAAAAAAAAACTAATACACTTTATTGTATGATTTTCACTATAAAGCGTTTTACACAAACCGCAACACGTGTTTCGCTATATAATTACTTCCTCAAGCGCTTGAGAAAGCTATTGTATAGCGAAACACGTATCGTTATTTTTGTAAAACCCTTTATAGTGTGTTAATTAGTTTCAATATAGATTTTCGTCAAGTATCGGCCAATTCTATTTAATTTCTCATTATTTGATAATTTGGACATGCACGAGATAATTTTGCTGTCTGTCTACCAGCAAATTTAACATCACTGCAAACCTAGTTCATCTAGCAGGGTTCATCTAGCAGGGTTCATCTAGCAGGGTTCATCTAGCAGGGTACACGCTATCAGTTCTAAATGCAAGAAGCTTCAGAAAATGCATCTACAAATTTTCCAAGGTTTCCTAATGTACATTATAGAGAGGATACCAAATCAAAGTAGCATTCTCTAACTGAGACATTGAAGAAAATGTATTAGTGAGGTATCTATATCAAAAAAAATATTTACCTTCAAAAGTAGCTATATACGTCGTGCAAAAAATTGCACAGGTTGTCATTGACCAACTTTTGAGGTGACATTGATCATTGACAAAGTACTTCTACGATCAGCATTACAGTGACAATCCAATTTCAGTGTGAAAATTCTTAACCGTTTTGTCAATCTTCATTCCCTGTTACATAAGTATTATTTCAAAGCTGTGCCACGAGAAAATTACAGTGATGATATATTGGAAACAGTTTCAAAGCTGATCGTTAAAGGAACGTTAAATGCACAAGGTGCTTCGAGCGAGTTTAAAATGCAATATGGAACTTTGATCACTGAATTCAAAGACAGTAAAACTTTCGGCACTACTGAAAAAGACTTGAGGGTACAGCCAAATGCTCTGATCGGATTTATCCACTAACCAAATGAGTCTTCCACACAAAAAAAAGACAAAGAAATTCGTTGTGTAGAAGCTATATATTCAAATAATGTCCTTGAACATGATGAATATTATACAGCGTGACTCACGGTCGATGGTAGGTTAGATTTCACCTCTCGCATTTCCTTACCTGTTCTATCGATCTAAAATATTTTCAGCATTGCGGCGTTGCCACTTCCATCAAAAAGTCCTAGCAACTTTATTTTTTTAAATGGAACACCCC